GTGTTTTTTTGTTTCTTCTTCCTCCCCCCCCCACCGAATCCCCGCATCCTAGTTCGGCGGCGCGCGCGCGGGGGCGGGCCGAGCGGGCGCGAGATGGACTGGGAGAGGAGGAGGAGGAGGAGGAGGAGGAGGAGGAGGAGGAGGAGGAGGAGGAGGAGGAGGAGGGGGAGGAGGAACAGGAGGAGGAGGAGGAGGAGGAGGAGGAGGAGGAGGAGGAGGAGGAGGAAGGGAGGAGGAGGAGGAGGGAGGAGGAGGAGGAGGAGGAGGAGGAGGAGGAGGAGGAGGAGGAGGAGGAGGAGGAGGAGAGGGAGGAGGAGGAGGAGGAGGAGGAACAGAAGGGGAGGCGGGCGGGGCCGAGGCCCCGGGGAGGCCCCGGCGCGCTCCGCCCAGGCCCGGGGAGCGGGCCAATTCACTGCGCGGGGACCGTCGCCCGGTAGACGTACTGCACCTTGCCCGAGGTCGGCACGGACTGCACGGGCAGCGGCTGCGGCGGCAGGTACGACACGGTGGCACTCGCGCTGCCGAAGCCCGCGGTCGCCACCTGGTAGCTCGGCATCGTGACTTCTGCCGTCGCCGGGCCGTGCTGCACGAGGCCGCCCGCCTGGCCCAGCAGCGCCTGCCCCACCACGGGGTGCTGCTGCGGCGGCGCCTGCGGCCTCGGGTGGCCCAGGTCCAGGTCTCCGAGGGACCGCACCTGCGCGTCCGTGGACAGGGGCCGGAAGGAGCACACCACGCGAGGCCCCTCGTCAACCTGCTGGCAGGCGCACTTCTTCATGTCCTGTATCAGCGGGAGCACCACTGCCAGAAACGCGTGCTCGCTGCCCAGGGACAGTAGGTCCTGGGATCTGCAGACAAGGCTTCCGGCATCCTGTCTGGTGCCCTCCGCCTTGTCGACCTGGGCCTGGAGCTGCACGCGCTTCTGCTTCTCCTCGAGGGCGCTCTTGGAGAGGAGCTGATGGCGCTTCGTCTCAATGAGCTCCCTCATGTGGTCCATTTCGCTGTTGATCGCGTTCCGCTGCGCCTCTGCACCGCGGCACACCTCCAGCTCCGCCTCCCGGAGCTGCGCCAGCAGGTCCTCGGCGGTGGCCATCCTCTGCTGCAGCTTCTCCACCCAGGCGCCGAGGGTCTCCTTGCCGGTCTCGAAGGCCTGGTCGACGGGTGTCTGCTGGTGCCCCCTGTGACCTCCCAGTATGAGGCAGTGCGAGCAGACCGGCTTGCGGCAGTCGAGGCAGTAGAAGCTTAGCTTCTCCTCGGGGTGCTCGTCGCACAGCATCCTGCCCGAGCAGTCGAGGCTGTTCAGCCCGCCGTCCAGGTCGACGATGTTGTGGCTCTTGAAGAAGCCCCTCGAGTGAGAGGACCTCTCGCACTCCTCGCACAGCACCCCGCTGCACTGTATGCACCGCCTCGTGGCCGGCTTCTCCTCGCAGAAGCCGCAGTACTGGCGGGCCCCCTCCGCCGACCTCGCCGGCGGCCCGCTGCCGGGCGACGTCGCGGCCAGCCCCTGCGCCTGCAGCTGCTGCCAGAGCTCCACGACGACGCTGAGCGTGCGGTCCACGCGGAGGCCCCCCTCCGGCACGACGGTGGCGTCCCCGCACACCGGGCAGGCCAGGCGCTCGCGCGGCCCGGCGGCGCCCAGGTGCCGGCTGCAGACGTGGTGCGTGCACTGCAGCATCACGGGGTCCGAGAAGTGCTCGTGGCACACGGGGCACCGCAGCTCGCTCTCCATGGCCGCCGCCGCCGCGCCCGGGGCGGACAGCCAGCAGCGGCCTGCGGGCGGAGGGCGCTTGAGCCGACAGGACACCGCCACAGATCCCAACCTTCGTACCGGACACCGTAAACAGGAATGAGCGACGGGAAATTATTTTGAATTTCAACCGTTCACTCCACCATGAGCCCCGCTTTCGACGAACAAGCCCCTTGCTGTTGACGAAGTGTTCCAAAATTTCGTTAATGGCTCAGCGATGGGAGCTGTCTAGGGATCTCATATTGAATACCCCACCTTCGGCACGCTCCTTGCCATTGACGGTTCATCCGAAGGTTTACGAACGGCCGCTGTCATGCCCGCAGCCTGAACAAGCCATCCCCGGGCGGCGTAGGACATCGGACTGATGACTTGTTGAGGGCCTATGTTTCCAGCCTGAACAAGCCATTCCCGGGCGGCGTAGGACATCGGACTGATGACTTGTTGAGGGCCTATGTTTCTATTAGCCCTCGATACGTTCAACATGTTATGCGTTTATCCGAAACAAAAACAACAATGGATGACCAATGGATCCGAGACCCGGGCGCGCGCATGTGGCCCGCATGGTAGTACTTCGCAGAGGCTCATGTTCAACGATCGCCGATTGCCCACCACACAGGACATCACTTGCCACGAAAGCCACTGGGGCCGGATGCCGGCTCCGACCTCATGGTCCGGCTGTACAAGTATCCGCACACATGAGCCAACGAGCGTCTACAACCCGAAACTCCGTGGAAGGGAAGGTGCCCAAGACCGATACGGCCTCGCACCACATGGTACTACACGAGCTCTTGCGTCGGGTGGGCATCCCGTACAAACTTTACACGAACACACACGATGGAAAATGGGCCGGGCTGGATACAGACTGGTGCGGAATTCGGCAGGCGAGTGAATTTCATAAGGGGTTACTGTTCCAGTCGCTTGCGGAACGCGATCTCAAAACCTCCCACACAATCACACACACATACACACACGCGCATCACAAGATCATCAAGCTTCTCTCTTTCATAAACCGTCGCAACAGTAAACTGCGAATCCTCCTCCACCTTCACGGAGTAAAACTCACAGAAGCCGCAAACCAGTTAAGTGAGCAATGGCAACTCATTACAAGTTTAAACTTGGCGCCCCCCGCTCTCAACAAGCCCGTCGCCTTTATCGAATTCATCCAACAATTAAATAACTGGCATTTTGGAACCCCACTGCCTCGACGAGGCGTGCCCAGGCAGCGCTGAAATGTTTGCATCACTTGCCATTGCAAGCCGTATTCAACATATTGATCATGCACGAATCACAGCAGTGGTGTTCCAATGATGTGGGGGCCTGAGCGTACGTATGGCCCGCATGGTATGATTTCGCATGGGTTCGTACACGAGATTAACGCCTGTCCACAGCATGATTTGAGTCAATAGGGGAAGTGGCGGAATCTGATATGGCTATGCACCCAATGGTCGAGTCGTATATGTAATATGGACGTGGGGTCCAGAAAACATATGAAACACACAATGGGAAGCGGCCAGGATCTGATGGGACCTGCTCCGCCGAGAGGGAAGACTAGATATCATAACTTCGTAATGCTAAAACTCATATAGAGATAGGAAAGCGAGCCATAGAGAGAGACCAGGAAAGAGCAGCACGTAAAGCGTAGAGAGTACAACTTGAAGAACCACATTCGTCATCGTTTGCTGTCGCCCACTCCCAGAGCAATGCCATTATATGGAACGCACGATCGACTGATTGGGATTTCCATGTGTGAGATTTCAGGACGCGGCAAAAGCGCTGGGGGGCGATCTCGTCGGGCGGCCACCTTCCTGGGCCCCCAAGACCCCGTAGGTGGGCGGTTGGACCCTCGGGTTCTGGGATTTCCACCAGCGAACGGCCCTGGAGGCGGAGGGGGAGGAGGAGGAGGCGGAGGAGGAGGAGGAGGAGGAGGAGGAGGAGGAGGAGGAGGAGGAGGAGGAGGAGGAGGAGTTGGAGGAGGAGGAGGAGGAGGAGCAGGAGGAGGAAGAGGAGGTGGAGGAGGAGGATGAGGAAGAGAGTGGAGGTGACTGATGGTTTTCCCAGGTCTGAGCTTGTTGAGCCGTCCCCGCCGATTCCTGTCCACTGGGCGGCCAGGGGCCAGGGCCCCCGCAGCAGAGAGTGCAAGAAGCAGCGCAAGCAGAGAGGCCAGGAATATTAAAGAGGAGGGAGCGAGAAAGAAAGAGAGAGAGAGAGAGAGAACGAGAGAGAGAGAGAGAAAGAGAGACAGAGACAGAGAGAGAGAGAGAGCACAACGAGTAGTAACGTCAAAAAGACATATAGCTATTTGAACATATTTTTGGGAGAAGAGAGCAAGAGGCAGAGCGCAGAGTGCAGATAGTAGAGAGCATAGAGCGAAGAGTGGAGAGGCCAGATCAGAAAACACATCGCCGTGACGAAAATACTCATCCATCCTGGTTCGCAACTGCTGCGATTCCCCGGAGTAGGCGGAGCAGGATCTACTCCACAAGACGGCCCACCCCGTTAGAGGGTTTGCATGGTTTGTCGGGGAGTAGGCTTCCGGTCTGGAATTGAACTAGCAGAGCTACAAGTTATACAAAGGCCGCAAATACTCCACTCCGCCGAACACCGAATGCCATGTGTCACGTTCAGAACACTCAGGGGGATGTGAAGATTCCTCACCATGGGGCACACATTGTATGTATTTTGTGTCACCGCGGTGTGGAGTGTAGAGAGCAGAGATTGGAGGGTAGAGCGTAGGCATCAAATGCCGGTGGGAAGAGAGTTGAGTACATAACGGAGAGCAGAAAGCAGAAAGCACAGTGTAAAGTGCACAGAAAGTGCAGAGACGAGAACTCGTAAACATCGCCATCGTTACCTACATGGTACGTACGAACAACTGCTGGGCCTTCCCCCGTGACATGTAGCTGCTATGTCCTAGTTGCTGGCACTACTGTCAGTATGAGCATGGCTATTGCTGCGTGTTGCATGCGAATTTGCAACTATGCCTGTAACAAATCCAAGGAAAGTGGTATGCGACTTGCTCGTTTGTGTACGGTCGGGAACTGTTGCACAGCGTGTCGCGGCGGCGGCGGCCCGGCGACACGCTGTGCGATGCAAGCGGGCAATGTGTCGCTCCGCTTCGAAGCTCGGAAAGACTCGGGACGTTGACGCTTGGGGACCGGGAAGTGGATAGCGTGCCGCGCCGAAGCATGGTGGGCCAGAATCGGCGGAGTGAAACGATATCAGAAAATCCTGACCGTAGTGGCTTACGAACGGCCACCTCGCTGAGAGCCACTTCCGTGTGTTCGAGTCTCCAACGGCGAGGCGGAGGAAATGCGGGCTCGTCACGAAGCCCCGGACCACGACGCAGTAAGTGGTGAACATGCACCAGATGATGAAGATGCCCTCCAGTAGCCCAGGCATTTGAGAATGCATCTCGCTGAAGTCCGCCCCTGCGCCCCTGGCGGGAAGTACTGGAATGGCTTCACGCCTCTGCTGGTCCGTACAGTCATCGGCCTGACCTAAGGAACGAAGCCCCTTCTTATCCAAAGGAACAACGCACAAGGAAAGATAGGTAACAAATCACGCACAAGGAACTGTAAATAACGCAGGCAAGCCTAAGGATCAACCGAGCCCCTTTTGAACAGTAAGTGTTCCTTACTCAAGCCGCTCGCTGTAGTGCTCGTCGGAGGGCGCCGGCTGTTCGCCCCGCCAATCCTGACGGGGCGAGCCCCGGCCAGGACGGGTGCGGCAGCCTCCATGGCCGAGCCAGGGAGCGCGCATGTGCCGTTCTCGGGCCCAGGGGATGGGCCCGGCCAGGATCGGACAGGATCGGTGAGGTGGATACCCAGACATCCAACGATGTGATGTCTCGACTGGGCGAGCCCCGGCCAGGACGGGTGCGGCAGCCTCCATGGCCAAGCCAGGGAGCGTGCAGGCACCGCTCTCGGGCCCAGGGGATGGGCCCGGCCAGGATCGGACAGGATCGGCGAGGTGGAGACCCGGACGTCCAGCGATGTGATGCTTCGAATGCGCTGCCCCAGGGGGGGGTAGCTTTTCCTCCTGGGGCCTCGGGGGCCCTCTCGGGATCTGCTGGGCCGTCGTGGGGGGCCTCCGGGCTGGCTCGCGCGGACGAAAGTCCGCGACCAGAGCGTCCGATCGGGCTCCCACGAGTCCAGTGCACGGAGGATTGAAAGTACGTTTCAAGGGAGCCCCAGGCCCAGAGTGCCGAAATTCTCGGGCGCTGTTGTGGTCCGTCCGATGAGCTTTGCCAGAAGCCTCGGGAGCGCGGTTCGGAATCCCAATTTCCAACGTGCCCTATAGGTGGTACTCTGGGGAGGTCATATGTCGTGAGATCCAGGCGTTGCAATTTTTCGTCGCGCCCGGTGTTTTCGCCCGGTGTCGGTCCCCATGACCATCACAGATCATCCGGTTCGAAAAATGAAGCAGAACATTATGTTTCGCGATGTTGCATGTTGTCGCCACTTCGGACCTCGGGAAACTTCCAACGCGCCCCAAGATGGCCATATGAAGTCGCCTTGGGGCTCTCCCGGGAGCTTCTGAAGCCGCCTTGGAAGCCCTGGGGGTTAACCCGATACTCCCAAATCACGACAAGCCCTATGGGTTGTATATTATGTTCGCAAGCTGGCCTTTTCGGCCTTGAGCGCATCCAGGGACGGCCCAAGAGACTCCCAGAAGCGCCTCGAGACGGTCCCCAGACCCCTAAGAGTGGCCCGAAGGCCACTCGGACAATCCCACGAGGCCCGAGAGGGGAACGCGAGGGGGCCTCTGGGGCCCTCCACGCCAAGACGGCCCCAGGCACCGAGGAGGCGCCCAAGCGAAGCCTCCTCCTCCTCCTCCTCCTCCTCCTCCTCCTCCTCCTCCTCCTCCTCCTCCTCCTCCTCCTCCTCCTCCTCCTCCTTCTCCTCCTCCTCTCCTCCTCCTCCTCCTCCTCCTCCTCCTCCTCCTCCTCCTCCTCCTCCTCCTCCTCCTCCTCGAGGAGGCCCGAGGCGCCATGGGGGCGCCCAGGCGAAGCACCGAGGAGGCCCGCGGGAGGCCCCCGAAGGAGGCCTCCGAGAGGCCCCCCGAGGGGGCTCCAGAGAGGCCGCGGTGCCCAGGCCTCGCGGGACGCCCCAGGAGAGATACCGAGAGCCTTCTGGTCCTCGACCCAGGCACGACGGCGGCACAGGCCGCAGGCCATTGTATATTTATATATATACACATATCTATATATACATATATAGATATACATACATACATACATACATACATACATACATACATACATACATACATACATGCAAACATACAGACATACAAACATACATACATACATACATACATACATACATACATACATACATACATACATACATACATACATATAAATATAAATATACATACATACATATATACATATATATAGGCGATGCTCGGCTGTCTCGTATGTGTGGTATTTTCTGGCCGTCTCGGCCCCAAGGGCGCCAGCAGGGCCGCAAAAGGGCCCCAGGGACTTTTGTGTTCGTTTTGTTCCCCATCGGACGCTCGTGATCGCTCCCGTTGTCCTGGCGTGTAGACGGCGCGACTGGAACGCAAGACCGAACTGCAAGCCTCTGCCGCGGCAGAAGGGCCCAAGGGAAGGCCTCAAGGGGGCCCGCCCCGAGGCCCTCGAGCGGTGCCCAAGAGGCACCCAAGACAGCCGCAGGATTGGTTCTCAACGGAGAATCGTGAACAAACTCTTGAGCCATAGCCGAAGCAATGTGGCGAGGAGGGCCGAAAACTGCTGGATCCGTCGCCAAATTCGAAGGTGCTGGGCGTGCTGGATGCCAGGCCCCACCTTCGGCCTGGTGAGCTCCCCAAACTTCTCCACAAGCCTTTCCGGCCCATCCCCCCATCCAGCACGGGCGGTCGTCGTCAAAATCTCTCCCGTGGCTAAACATGCCACCAAGATGGTCCAAGGACGCGCTCAGCGCGGACACGGAGGGCCCCCAGACGGCCCAAGAGGGCGCGAAGCAGTGCCAAGATGACCAAACAGCTCCTGGCGACGGCCCTCGAAAAGGCCCCACGAGGCCTCCAAGACGGCCCCCAACGCACCACCCAGACAGCCCAGATCGACACATCATTCAAGGCGCTGGTTATCCCGACGCGTTCAAATACATTTGTGCCTGCTGGATTTTTCCACACCTGGGCCCCATGTGGCCGCTCGCAGACATGCGAGCCTAAGGCCCCCAAGACGCCCAAGGAGGGCCCCGAGTCTGAGAGAGCCCCATGACGTCCGAAGCGCGAGGGCGCCACCAGACACCAAGAGGCGCCAAGATGCTCCGACCTGGGCTTCTGGGCAGCACGGGGCGACGGTCACCCGCTGGAAGCGTCTTCGATCCCCCGCTTCCCTGCGCTCACAAAGTGCGGGCGAAATCCAGACGGACCACCTCCAGCTTGGCTCTGCAGACCTCTCCGCACCAACACGGCGGAGCCGAGGTCCCGAGTGAAACGGGCTCTGGACCCAAGGGGCCTCTCCCCGGGACCAGACTTTCGGCCCGAGCCGCTCCGCGACGGCCCCGGGGCCCGCGGCGCGCCCCGAGGCGCCGAACACGGCCACCCGTCGACCACACGCCTCGAGGCGCTTCCAGCCAGCCCCCCCCCGCCCCATGGCCCACGATGCTGGCCGCACTGCCCGAGGAGCGTCCGGACCCGGCCACGGGCGGCCCCACGACGGGTTTTGGGCTATTTTCGTGTTCGGCCCCCTGGCGCCCTGCCGGCGGGCTAAACCAGGTGCCGTCTGCGCAGCAGTCAGGCCACGCCGTCGCCGTCGCCGAAGGGCGACTCCCTGCCCGCCGCCACGCGCGCCCGCGCCCAGCGAGCAGCGGCGGCGGGCGAGGCGAAGCCGTGGAGCTCGGCCGCCTGCCAGGCGTCAGCCGTGGCGGGCCGCAGCCCCCAGCGCGGCGGCCGCCCTGCTCCAGCGGGAGCTCCAGCGCCGCCCTCAGCGCCTGCGTCGCCGTGGAGCACCGCCGCGAGCCGCACCTGCTCCTCCTCCGTGGGCGGCTGAGGAGCCAAGAGCCAAGCCCTGCTCTTCGGCTCCTGGGGGCGCAGCAAGAGCCGCCGCGCCTCCGCCGCCCTCTCGCCTGGGGCAGGCCGCCCCTTGCAGCTGCCCAGCAGGCCTGTCCCAGCTGGAGGGGACCGCTTCCAGAAGCGGCAGCCGCACTTCAGGCACCAGGCCATGGCCCCATCGCCGTTCTCGAGGCGCGAGACGACGATGCAGTGCCCGCGCACCACCCGCGCCACTCCAGCTCCAGCCACCGCAGCCTTCAGCTCGGGAGCGGCCACAGCTGCATTCGCAAGCTCGTCAGCAGCGGCCCCAGCGGCAGCGGCGGGCGCCTGGCCGAGCTCCACGCCTGCAGCGGCCCCAGCAGCAGCGACAGGCGCCTGGCCGAGCTCGAGATCGGCCTCGAGCGCCAGCGCAGCCACCTCCGCGTCGGCCACCTCCGCCGCGTCCAGCGCCGCCTGCGGGATGTCGTAGACGAGGTCGGCCGTGCCCACCACCCCGTCCGAGTCCAGCTGCTCGCGGCCCACCATGGTGGCAACGACGGGAGGAGGAGGAGGAGGAGGAGGAGGAGGAGGAGGAGGAAGAGGAGGAGGAGGAGGAGGAGGAGGAGGAGGAGGGAGGAGGGAGGAGGCAAGCGAGAGGAGGAGGGGAGGAGGAGGAGGAGGAGGAGGAGGAGGAGGAGGAGGAGGAGGAGGAGGAGGAGCCTGGGGTGGCTCCCGACGGCGCCAACAGGACGCACGAGGGGCCCAGGACGGCTTCGAAGGGGCCACGCGGCGCCTCTCCCGGACCGCGCCAGGCGCCAGACGAACAGTCTCTCCGGAGCAAGATCTGGTCTCCAGAGGGGGTCTCGTGTGCCACGCCACTCTGGTTCCGAGGGGGCCTCGGGGAGCCCAAGGGAATGCCAAAAGGGGATCTGCTGAGCCTCCCAGCGTTCCCCTGAGATTGCGCAGGACGGCCCCCCGAGGGCCCAAAGACGGCGGCCAAGGAGGGCCTCTGGATGGGCCCTGAGGACGGCCCAAGAGAGCCCCAGGACAGCCCAAGGAGGCCCCAGGGGGCCCCCGAGGGGCCCCCGCAAGACGGCCCTGGAGAGCCCCAAGAGACCTTCAAGCCTGCACCGAAGGGGCCGAAGAGGGCCCCAAGAGACCCTCAAGACTGCCCCGAAGAGGGCCCCCCCCAAAGAGAAGCCGCCCAGAAGGCCAACGAGGCCCCGAGGCCAGCGCACGCCCCGAGGGGCGCCA